CTCCATGCCCTCTAGTGACAGTGCATTCTCATGAGAGGTGATGTCGTTTTTACTTTTCACTTTACACCTTCGGGTATTGTGGGAGCCTTTAAACTTTCAGAATAAGAGCCTAGAGGAGACTTTGTGCAAATGTATATCTCTGTCTCTCCTTATTAGGTTCCCAAATTCATCTGGTGTGACCCTGCTGGGAGCTGGGATTCCTGGTGAACTTCACATTTTGGTAAAAGCTGCCACTACAAGGGACACTGACAGTCTACCTCACTCTCCCATCCTTTGAGTATTAGATTTTTACTCACCACTGTTTCACATACCTCCTTCATGGTGTTGCCACGGTGAGAGTCTGCCACTCAGCAGCAATTCTACTAAGGGGCTCCTTTGGGCATCAAAATCTCCAGTGCCCATGGGAAGAGCTGGATTGGCATCTCCAGGGACTGAAATCCTTTGTCCTCAGAGCAGATGCAGTTGCATAAACGTTTATCTCCCCATTTTTTTGTTCTTCTCTTTCTATGACTGTCAGCTCTGGTCAGGAAGATATCCTAGGGCTGGGAGGCTTGTGGGTTTTGGCATTCTGCTGAGACAGTGCACAGGGCAAGGGGTGACCTGATGCCAAGGATGATGGTAGTTTTTGAGCTAAGGTCACTTGTCCCCTGAAGCATTGGCCAAAGAACTGCAAGTTTGCTCCATACAAACTCCCAAACAGCCACCACATGGTGATGGTTGGAATCTTTCTGTTTTAAAGAAACTTTCTACTCAGTCAACACAGGTCATTCTTCTGCACTTAATCCCAACCCGCAGCTCCAATCACTTCCCATATAATCTCCCAGAACAGCTGTGCTGTGATTGCATTGTGGATTACAAAATGACCATTTTCCACAAAACAGCTGCTGGTTAGAGGGATAGCATTTAATAATCACTGGGGAGGCGAGAAAGGAGAAGAAAAGACAAAGGAGAAAGGGGTTTGCAGAAATTTGGTTTCTTGAAGGATGTGGAGATGAGCAAAACAGCAGACAAAGTTTGAGTTCCATTACTGCATTGCTCAACCAAATTAACAGGACTTTGAAGACTTGTTGGTAAGGTAAATTCAACTCTTTTTCCTTTTGGGGATATCTAGATATTATGGTCAGTTATTGTCAGTAACTGCTTGGCTTTTGTGGAGGGAAACGTTTTTGACAATGCTTTCATGAAGGAGTAGTTCAGATTTGCTTCTCATGCCCTATATCCCCTGTATCTTTGATCCAATTCTTTCTTCTGACTCATTTATTTCTTGTATTTTTTCTCTCTTCCATAACACTCATTCTGAAATTATATGGCCTTTAGGCTGCCGTCACAAATCAACTGAAAAGAATATTTTTCCCCTGTTGAAGATTTAAATTAGAAAGATGATTTTTGTCAATATTGTGAGTGGATTTTTTTTAAAATAAAAGCACAAGCAACCCAAAAGCTGAGAAAACAGAAAATCTTATAATCAAGCATTGATTAAAAACTTTGTGTGCTGAAGGTTTCTATTTTCAGGTGAAAATCATGTTTTTGAGAAGAGCTATTTTTCCAATAATTTCCTTTTCAGTCATTAGCCCAATTTTCCACTATAAAAACTTCCAGTGAGAAATTTGGCACCAACCTTAGCCAGAAACTGTTGCTAGTAGGTATCTGCTCTGCAAAAATGGTAATATTTAACATGCCTTTAGATCACAAAAGTAATTAGTTATGGTATCACTAAGATGTTACCATCTCCAGGGTTCAGCTTTTCCATTGCCAAAAGAAAGAAATGCCCGGGTGAAAAGACAAAAGAAGCCAGAGCATAAAACAATACAGGAAATTTTGAAGAGCTGAGTATTTTCTTGCTTTCAGTGAGGGTGTTCCAGGTCAGGCTCTGCTCTCTCAGTGTGATGAGATGCTAATGAATTCCTGCTTTTCAAAGAAGAGCTTCAGCATCATCTTTATTGACCACATTTCCAAGCTTGCTGGTTAGCAGAATAAATGCCTCTAAAAGGCACCACAGCTAAAAGTGCTGCAGTCACAAACAATGCAAAGCTTGGTCTCATATCTTTTATTTGTGGTGATGTCCACAGAATGCTGGGTTTTTCTCACATGTTCAGTGTTGGGTGAGTCAGTCAAAGTTAAGTGAAGAGGATCAGCAGCAGGCAATGTCTGTACAAACTGAATCTATTCACGGGCAAATAGATTATGAGAGTCATAAATAGGAAAGGGTGGGAGTACCTGGATGAAGTTGTGCCAAACATAGGGAGTGCCATGTGGGAAGAGACATGCATTGATGACATGAAAGTTGATGTGTGGGTAGATGACATCTAATTAATCCACAGAGTGATAAATTAGGGTTCTCAGAAGTCAGTGCAGGGTTTTGCAGGAACCCTAAAGTCTTAAGCTTCCCTCTGAGTGAGAAAGTCCACAAGACCCTGGTACACAAACTGCTTTCTGAATTACTTTCAAGTGATGAGATGAAAGTGGGAAGAATGTTTGTGGCAATATTCACTCTTATAACAAAAATCCCTTTGGCACTTTGTGTGAGAGCAGAGATGCTGTCATCCCACCACCCCATGGAATTTCTAATGTGCAGATCAGGGTTTGCTTAGGTGAGAGGTGCTGCTCTGGGACTTGAACTCTAGCTGCCAGATCTGGGTAGCCTACTCAGTCCTCTCTGAGTAGGTCACTGCTGTGGTATGTGACCTTCAGCCATATGGGAACATTTTCCTGCCTTTCCCCACTGTGAAATCACCACACCCTCTGCCTCTCTAGGTACAGTAGTGAACAGCTTGAAAAAGTGTTTTGGGACACTTGGCAGCAAGATTTCTCATTTAGTTGGACAGAGCATTATGTTTCATGTAAAGGCAACACATGGTATTTGGGGAAGTCGGTTAACAGTTTTTCCCTATCATCTCTTAGATGGAGTGAATGTGATGTTCCTTTCATTTTGCTCATGTGCTCAGACACCTCAATACACTCAGCCCTGCTGTCTACTGAGTCACCCTCTCCTCTCCAGTACAAATACTTAGTGTACTTTTAAACGGGTGAAGCTGACCCACTGCTCCAGTCTCCTGGCCTTCAGGAAGTGATTCTTCCATGCTGGGTGAGCTGTTGGGATGGTGTGAGGAGGGCAGAGTGCTCAGAACCCCTCCCCACAGATGCACAGTGGGAAAAGCTGGGATTTGTAAGACTAGGTGAGACAAGTGGCTGGTGTGACAGTCCCTCCCATTTGTGTTGTAGATGGAGCTGCTGAAGGGAATGCCATTGCGCCGTACTTTCCTGGCTGTCACCCTGAACCTGCTGGCTCTCAGCCTCTCCACCACTGCCTTGCTTGGCAGCTACTGGTGCACCGGGACCCAGAAAGTGCCCAAGCCTTTGTGTGGGAAGACCAAAGCCACCCAGTGCATTGGTGTCCCTATGCCGTCTGAAGCAGATGCTAGCAATGCTTCATCTGAGGATGTGGTGCACTACAGCTGGGAAACTGGAGATGACCGCTTTGCCTTCAGATACTTCCACACAGGGATGTGGCTTTCCTGTGAAGAGAGCATGGAAGGGCCAGGTAGTGTCTTGCCCAGGCAGCCACAACATATTCCCTTGTATTTACTCCACAGGAGCTTGAAACCGAAAGGCAGGAGGCTGACAACACTTGGAAGAAAAGCCTTCTTCATTTTCCTAGATGGCATCAGCTCTGTGCACTGGTGTGGTCATTATATTTCTGTCCTTCACTGGGATGTTCACAGAGTGGGGAAAAGGAGGATGGTTGTCTCTGGTGTGCCCTTCAGTCTGGAATAGGGGCTATGCCTGATGGAAAGGTGGCAGTGACTTCCTGATGGGAACTGCAGTGATCCTCCTTTCCCTTTCCCCATATCTCTATTCCTACACACAACTTATTTCATGGTCTCCAGAGCACATTTGTGCATGTCCTCTCAGAAATTTATGTATGGTGATGCTTTGCAGAGCTGCCAAGTTCTGGCAGTCACTGTGAGGACTGCAATAGTTGGTATTCCTAAATTGCCAAACTGAGAGGTTTTGCGTTATTAAATAGGGACTGGTCTTTTCTTTAAAAAAAAAGAGAATGACTGCCCTATAGATACAGAGAAACCCTGGAGGATCTGAACCCAGAGCAACTAAAGCTAGGAGGCTTTAGTTGCTTTGAGGATTAGAGCTGCAGTATTGTAATTGTTTCCATTTGTTTTGTGTGCTTGAAACTCTCATGTCCTAATAAGAGGGCTGCTTTCTGTTATGAGCACTTCCAGACAGGCAGTGGAAAGATAATGTGTTTATTTGGGACTGGTTTGGGTTGGGGTGTGTTTCCATGGTCCTTGTGGGAATGGAACTACATCCCTTGACAGCTTTCTCTAAAAGACTTATCTAGCCACTGGGCAGTCCTGGAATAACCCCAATGCCTGAAGGAACGCAGAGAGCATGCTACATCTGAATTGCAGCAGAACATGGGGTAGTGCACAGTCAGTCTCACTTGCCTGCTTCCTGTTAATCAAGTACAACCCACCCACTGCTGTGCATCTTTGAAGCAAGTGTATGACAATAACAACAACAAAAAAGGGGGGGGGGGTAGGGCTACTATGAACAAAAGGATATTCAGTTAAGCTGGAGAAAGGATTTCATTATTCAGGCTAATCTCTGGATCAGTTTTAGATGACCCATTACTGAATATCCTCATTAAAGTTCTAGGTGAAGTAGCAAATTGGAAGTTAATGAGAACTGCAGATGGCACTAAATTGGGTAGCATCCTAAGAGCTGTGGATGACAGAAGTAACACAGGAGATTGGGAAAGATTAGAACTGGGGATAGAAATTAAGAAAATTAGATTCTTACATGAAGCAGTGCAGTAATAGAGTATGCAGTGAGACTTACAGATAATAATGACAGACCCTCAGCTGAGACAGCAGTTTGTGTCTGGACAACATAAAAAGCCAAAGCAAATATGAACACAATTTGTCCAAATACCATGCCTAAAATGCGAGGACAGAAGACCATATTTCTGTGTGATTCTCTGCCACAGAAGAGAGTCTGACGTTTCTGTCATGACCCTCTACAACTCCCTTGAAAGGAGGTTGTTGTCAGGTGGGGGTTGGTCTCTCCTCCCAGGCAACCAGCAGTAGGACAAGAGGGCACAGACTCAAGCTGTGCCAAGGGAGGTTTAGGTTGGATATTAGGAAGAGATTTTTTTATGGAGAAAGTAATTAGGCATTGGAATGGGCTGCCCGGGGAGGTGGTGGATTCACCATCCCTGGAGGTATTTAAGATAAGACTGGATGTGGCACTTCGTGCCATGGTCTAGGAACAATGGTAGGATTGGACTTGATGATCTTTGAGGTCTTTTCCAATCTGGTTGATTCTATGATTCTATGATTTCACTTGGAAGTTTTATTTTTCTTTAATTCTTCTTTGGGAAGCAGTGCTAGAACTGTTTTTCTGAGGTTGGGATGAGTGGGAATTCACTTTCTTAGCAGCAGTGATGGGTCTGCAGTCTGTTAAAAGATATACCCTTAATAGACCTGATCAACAGTAATGTTGTGAATGAGTAGCAACAGATTTTTACATTCAGCAGAGGCTCATAAGATTTACAAATAGCTAAGTTTGGGTTTTTTTTTGGAAGGCCACTTATAGTTTTCCAGGCAGACATTGCCTTCCCCCATGTTGCCCCAGTGAGAGAGTCTGGAAAGACAGTCAGAAGACCAGAAGTAAGAAGGTCTGATGGGTAGACTCAGGGATAACTGTATCCATGCACTGAAAAGAGAGTGAAATGAAGATATTTTCTTTCCCTTTATGTACCTTGCATTGTTTTGTAAACTAATACCTTTGGGTTTGTGTTTCAGAAGAGAAATGCCGCAGCTTTATTGAGCTGTCACCACCAGCAGAGAGAGGTAAGAGCAAATCCCCATATCTCACTGTGGCTCCCCAGTGTGCCTCCTTGGGATGGGGGACCTGAAACATTTTGCCTGTGTGGGGACATCAGGGTGGGTCTCCAAGGAGCTAGGCATGAGATCCTGGCTTGTGGTTGCTAAGAGAGCAAAGATTTCCTCCCAGATATTTGCCTAAACCACTGCTATATGTGAGGTCAGTGCTGGAAACCTCAGACCCTCTCATATATGAAGTGGGATTTGTCTCATCTAGTTGCCCAATCTGAGCTTGTCATCTTGCTGTAGTCTGCGGGAAGAGTACGGATGTCTCCTGAGGACAGTCCCTCCCACATAGGCCACATGTTAATTCAGTGCTTCAGTTTTGGGGTCTAATGGGATGAGACTGGAAGCAGAATCACCTCTTACTTTGTGGTAAGTGAACAGGACGTCATAAAATTATGCTCTCAGGCCGAAGTCCTTGCCTCAAGTACAAAGCTTCATTTAGGTTGACTTTTCCTGCCATTGTCACACGTTTCAAATTCAAATTCAAGTGGGGATAACCTCAGTATACTTGGATGTATGTGTACATATGCACTGGAGATTTTACGTAATGAAAGCTTTTCAATTGGTGTGGGCTTGCTAACTATTCCCTGACTTGGAGGCTGAAGGCAAGTGATTTCAGATGTGAAGGAAAAGGCTTCGGGTGCAGAGCCTGTGTCAGTGCTCAAGCCGTGAGAACAAAGGCTAGAACAAATGCTGGGGAATTGCAAGAGCCAGGAGGGAGATAAGTATTTTCACCCCTTGCTGCACGTAGTATCATCTTAAGATGACCTTGGCCTCCAGTTCAGCTGCCACTGTATAGTTGGGCCAGCAGTGGAGAAGGTGGTGTGATCGTGGGCACGGCTGGCTGAGCTAGATGTGCACAGAGCAGCTCCATACTACATAGGCAGAATTACAAGACCAAATTACACTGCATGTGTAGGGAGCTTGGAGTCAGAAGGATGTTGATGTAGAGGCTTCTGTGCAAGTGTGGTGCCTGCAAGAGCCAGGATACATTTGGCAGTCTGACCTCTAATGAAGTATTCTCCCTGATGGTGCTGCAGCAAGCAAGCCAGGTCCTTTAAGCAGGGAATGCAGCTCATCAATTTCTGCTAAAGAGCTGGGTGACTCTGTGGCACTAATGACATTGAGTATTCAAGTCAGTGCCACATTAATGAGGGTTTTCTTCACACTCCTGTTCCCCAGTTGAATGTCTCTTCTTACAGCCATTAATAGTTGCTAACAGTAGTGTTCACAGTGCTGCTTCATTTGCCAGATTAATGTTTCTTCCTCAGTGAATCCTGTGCTTTTGCACAGTCCAGCATTACAGAGTGCCTTTTCTCATTCTTCAAGTCCTACTGGACCGCTGTAGGACTGAGTTCAGCTGTAGACTGTATCACTTAAGTCCCACTCAAAATCCCAGCATGAAAGCACCTGCACTCTGTTCAAGCTGCAGGGTAAGTGGTGAATGTTATTGCCCTAGCTGTATGCTGACCCCAAGGAATGCAGTTTCATTTTAGTTGGGGTTTCAGTGAGAAACACAGGCTTGCAAGGGGCTTCCTGAATTCCAGAGGCTAGATCTCACACAGAGCTGCACCATGCAGTTCTTGACTAGGTGAGACCCAGGTTAAATGTTGTTTGCTTTTGTTGTGATTAGAGCTCAGATGTGTTCATGTCCAATCTAAACCACTAGGTTTTATGCTAATACTCAACAGCTTCCCCATGTCTTTTTCCCCTTGCTTTCCTCCTTGCTGTTTATGAATAATGCTGGCTTGTTTACAGATGGCATTTTAGTTCCTCTCAGCTTTTGCCATGCCAGATTAGCCAAGCCATCTTCTGTGACAGACAGTCTGTTCCCTTCAGCATCCTTTGAGCCCTTGCTCACAGGCTGGGGCAATTGCTTTTGAGTGTTCCTCATTTTCCTTCTTTCCCTGCTTTCCAAAGGACATTTTTTCACATTGGGTTGGTACTCTCTCTTGCTTTCATCCTGTATTCCCGGCAGGAATCCTGTGGCTGTCACTGGGATCAGAGATGCTGTACATTAGCTTGCTGCTCATCAGCTTCATTCTCCTGATGGTGGAAATGCTGCATACTGGCAATCCTGTCTGTGGGTTGAAGCTCAATGCTTTTGCTGCTGTTTCTTCAGTGCTGTCAGGTAAGTGTATTACCGTAGGCTTGGAACCACAAGCAGCAGGAGGGCCTCCTCTGCCACACAAGGCTTCAGTGTGCTGCCCTGGCTCCTGCTGTAACTTCTTTGCTTTCTTGTCTTTTGCGTCCAGGTCTCCTTGGGATGGTGGCACACATGATGTACACTCAGGTCTTCCAGGCAACAGTTAATCTGGGACCAGAGGACTGGAGACCACACACATGGGACTATGGCTGGGCATTCTAGTACGTGAGTTCTGAGGCCACCTGCACTTTCCCAGCCTTTTGGGCTTCAGCTGTGCCACATGCTTCCTCCTCCTTTCTTGACCTTCTGTATTTCCAAAGACAGGTGTACCACAGTTCTCCTGCTGCTAATCTCCTGTCTTTGCCTCATCGCCTGGTTTAATAAATAGTTTCTGAGTTACTTAAATGAGTAGCTACCAAGGAACTGGCAAAACAATGGGGTCACACCTAAATAATTGCCTTCAACCCTGATGACTAATCAGGTTTGCCCCTCTGCTGGTTTGCCTTGTTTGGTCTCAGCTCTTCCCTGTGTGCAGAGGCTGGTGTCACACTTGTGATGATTTTCTCAAACATGCTTTGTTTTTCTGCAGTTTTAATAAGTTGCATGCTGGTTTGGCATTGTCACTAACCAATGTCCAAAGGACCTATTCCTGCAGCATCAGGTGTAAACACACACTTAAAGATGTGGATACAGCCCAGCCCACAATTAGCCGTCACACCATCTTCTCCAGTGCTCCAGAACTGTAATGCTCTCAGACTTAGTCATTCTATGTCCATGCCCAGCAGCTTCTGCTTGGCAAATCAGAGTGTGTCACAGTGCATGCAGTTCAATTCCTCACCCTCCTTGGCTTCTCACAGCATGTCATTTTGTGTCTCTCCTGTAGCATGGCCTGGGCCTCCTTTACCTGCTGCATGGCCTCTGCTGTCACCACTCTCAATACCTACACCAAGACGATCCTGGAGTTCAAAAGGAACCACATCAAGGGCTATGATGGGAGCTTCAAAGATCAGTCTCAGCACCACCAGTGCTTCATACAGCAAATAAGCAGCTATTACGAGCCCAAAGGCAAGGTCTTCCATTCAGTCTCTGAAGGAGTCGACTTCTACACTGATCTGCAGCAGAAAATGCTACAGCGGGAACCAGATCTGGAGCTGGATGAAGTCTTGGGACAGACAATGGGGGAGGATCGCTGTTAGGGATAAGTGTACAGAAACAGAGCAGTGGGGTTTGGGAAGCACAACAGCTCTGAACCAAACACTGGCACCACTGTTAGCAAGTTCTTGGGGAGGTCTTCCTTCCTCTACAGTTTGGGGAGTGAGAAGGTGGGGACTGGGTCAGGGCAACTGCAGTGCTAACAGCAGCAGGTTGGGCGTCCTCCCTGATCAGAGCTTGACCTCAGCTGAGAAGGGGGAAACTGTAGGGACATGCTGGTGCCAGCTACCTCCAAGCACTTTCAGACAATTGAGGCAGATGTCCTAATCCCAGTATTACACTTGTGAATAGATAGTCAGCACCATCCAGATAGCAATTTGCACTGCTAGGCCTCTCTGGGTGGTGTTACATTGACCTTTCATCAACGCCCCTGGTTCAGTGCTATGAAGGGCATCAGTGCTCATATTGATCAGCTGTCATCCTCTCTGAACACCCTATTTATTCTTAATTTCCAGGCCCAAACTCCTCTTCTGCTGCCAAAGTCCTGCTGCAGTAGGAATGAGGCTTTCAGACATCTCTCTCCTCTTCTTTCCTATCTGTAACAACTCCCATATGCTCCCTTCTTGTTTTTTCCCCCAAAATCTCCCATTCTGAGGTCCTTCGCTGTCTGCCTCTTTTTATTGTGCTCCTCCACAATCTTTAAGAACCCTTGGCTGGAGTTTTGCTTTTTTCTTTGTTTCTCTTTATTTGTTCCTTTTTCCCCACTGTAAAAACATTGCAAACCCCCCCCCCCCCAAATCAAGCAAACTCATAATCTCTCAAAGATGAAACACTGGTTCACATGACACATGATGCTGTACACAGTATTTATTTGCTCCACTGCAGTTCACAGTTCAAATACATTTTCCCAACAATATACATACAGACTCTTTATTCACAGTGGGGAGTGTGTGTGTGGGGTGGGGAGGGGCAGGGTGAATTCACATTATGGAGGAGCTAACATCACTGCACTTGACTATCAGTTCTCTCAGGAATAACCTCAGAGGAATAAAACTACTACCTTAGGTAACAGCCACGTGACCTTTCCCAGCAAGGTGGTGGCTGGACAGGAGGGAAGAGGCACTCCTGTTTAATCCCTCATATGTTACTGGTCCTCACATTTTCAGTCTTATTATGCAGCTGTATTAACTGACTTCATATTATAAACACTAAACCCTGTCTGAAGGAAAATTCCAGGCCTAGAGCCTTTGCTACAGTTGTGCTAATATATACAAAGCTATTTACACAAAAATACCATTAAATGTATACAAACTGTTCACAGGCTCTGACATTAAGAGAGCAGGGCCCAAGGACCAGCCTTGGGGCTTGCAGCTAATCCTGAAGGGCTATCCTGGAAGCTGTATATGGAGATGCTGGGATGAAGAAGACAGAGGGTGATACAGCAAGGAGAGGTGTCAAGAGCCCAGGAGACAAACTCATGATAAATGCAACCATTTGGAAGGAGTATCAAAGTCTGCCATCACCTCACCACTGATGGAGAAGTGTGGGGAGGCTGAAAGGGCACATGCCAGCAGGGAGGCAAAGAGTCCTTTGCAATCCTCATCTCAGCCTGGCTCTGCCTAATGCCAAAGGCCAGACCTACAAAGGCATACTGGGAAGACAATTCCTACATTGTTGCCCTGAATTGTGAGAAGCTGCTGGGGCACCAAAGTAGTTCCTTTTTATATAGTAATTTCTATTACAAGGAAATTCATGCAGATGCTCTGCAGCTGCAACACAGGAGACTGATGGCACACTGTGAGGCACAGTTCAAAACACTAAACATACTGTGAGCAAATGTGTCCCAGAGGTAGCCTGTTCTCCTGGAGCTGCACACAGGGCTGGGCTGGCAAGGGAATAGCAATATGGAGTCCAGAATAGGGACAAAACACACAGAAAAGCTTTCCAGTTCTGTCTTTGTCTGATCCTCTGAACCCTGAAGCAATGATGTAAAAAGAAGCTTTTTGTGACTAGATGGAGAGTGACCTTTACAGTGACAGTTGGGATCTGCTGGAAGTCTATCCCAAAAGGGCTGTAATACATTTGCAAAGGGAGACTCAGCCTACTGGACTGCAGTGTGATGTGACAGTGAAACTTTGGGCTCATACAAAGCTTAAGGATGGACAGAAGTAAGATGTGAACCTTTCATTTCTATATCATCCACATGCACCTCTCAACTTGGAATCGGGAAAGAAATACACAAGTGCAAGACCTGGGAAATGCTGTGGGGGACCATCTTTCTCTATATCAGGTAATTCAGCCAGAGAGCTAGCTTGATTGTGAGTTTGGGAGCAGTATGGAGAAGATGGCTGAGAGCACAGGAGAAGTTGTAGACAAGACCAACCCTGCAGGAGCGACACAGAGGCTTCTCTCCAAAAATATAAAGATTAAAGCAGGTCGTGTCCTTTAGTCACACCACTTGCCTTGACTCATCGTGGCCCACTCTAGGCCTAGAGCTTGTTTGACTGCCTGGGAATACTGATTGGACATAAAAAGGTGCGTCCTAAATCTCATTCATAAATTAAACATACAAAAAATATACATATATTGTATAAATTAACACATATATATATAAAGCCTGTTTTTATATATATATGTCTATAAATCCTAAATTCACATTTCTGTGTTACCTGGAAGGAAGCATGCAAGAACATATGGAGGGGGAGTTGCTGAACAAGTTTCCTCTGGTGCAGGACAGGTCTGCTTAGGACAAACCTACCTCCAGCAGCATTCCCCAGAGAGCTAAAGAAAGGGAAAGTGCTTTTAGCCCCCATTCCCTCTACGTAGCAGTTTTCCTGAAGATCCGCAGAGCAGCTTCCTGTATTCTCCATACAGATGACAGATCCAACCAAAATCTGAGGAACCACCAGGCTAGAGCTGGAGAAGGAAAGGCCAAGAAACATTAAAGACAAAACCTAGTATCATCCAGTTTGGTAAAGTGGTAATTCACAGGCCAGCAATAGCAATAGAACCTGGGCACCACTCTATGGAGGGCCCTTGTTTGCCCATGTCAAAACAAGCAATCTCTGTCCCACTTCTCTGTTCCCTTTGTAAGTCTCTCAGTCCCTTATTATCATTCATCACCCCTGTTACTTTCTAAGATCCTCCACTGTCTCCAACTGCCAAAGTACATCTGGACCTCACAATCTGCCCAGTTTATGTCCAAAGGGGCAACCAGTCATCTTGCAAACAGCCTCTTTGCATCCCAAAGAGAACCTTAACTGTGTCTGTAGGATGTTTTTAAAGGCCTAGATTTGATTAGGGATTCCTGCACAGTCTCACCTTCTGAGGAAAGTCAACAAATTTCAGACGGGCAAGAAATCGCCTCACTTCTCCACGGCTGATTTTCGGAGTGGTGGTGTCCTTTAACCACATCATTCGACCTTGACTCATCATGGCCCACTTCAGGCCCAGCTTGCTGACCGAGAGAAATCCTGGCTGTTTTTCAGAGGTTGCAGTTGTTGTCACAGTGATGTGAAATGCATCCTTCTGGAGATCGTTAATGCCAACTAGTCCATCAGAAAAGAACAAGAAAAAAGTGGTGAGGAGTAAATGGTTATGTTTCTTCCAGAAGAAATCTTACAGCCTTTACTCAGTCAAAATATCCACTGGACTGAAGGTATGACTTTAAAATTCCCTGTACCATAGTTGATAAGGAAAAATGATTTAAAGTTAAAAATTCTCCATGGAAAGAAACTGAAATTTAGATCAGAAACAGAAGGTGGTTCTAGGTGATGTTTTTGAGCTTGAATAGGAGATGTATGTATTTCAAGAATGCAGTTCACTCTCAGAGAGCTTTCCTTCCCACACCCGTCAGCAGCTATTGTTTACCTCTATAGAAGTTGAAATTTGTAAATCATGGGCAAGTCAGCTCTCTCTAGTTACTGCAGAATGATCTGTACAGACCTCAGAAATCCCAATTACTAAAAAAAAAACCTCTAAAAATGAGTCTCTGTTTGTTCTTGACTGAGCTGTGGTTTTGATACAACTGCAATTAGATGTTATTACTATGTAGCAGCTTTTCTATGCTTCCTGGTGTACTGGTCTCAGTGCTGGAAAAACTCATATTTTCTGCCACATTGCCATGCACAAGAGGCTGCCTATTAGTCGAACTGCTTTAGAAAGAGCAAGGAAATGCAACAGGGACTGTACAATCTCGTATATATGTTAAATCCAGATCTACTTTTCCCTGAAAACATACATTTAAATATTTTGGATTCCCCCTTTCAAAAAGAAAAAGGAAGAAGCAGCAGGGCTGCAATCCCAAAGAATAGGAGAAGATGGCCAACACAGGCAGAAGTGTATCTCAGGTGACAGAGAAAATTTTCACAGTGATTTTTCATGCACTGCATTAAATCCTAAATAGTTCCATGGAAAGCAAGGAAAATTCTCTGGTGTAAAACATGCATAAGTCAAACTTGGACCTTTCCTTGCTTAAACAGGTGCAAGAAACTTGGTAGTTCTTTTATTTGCAACATAGGGGTTGGACAGCATGCTGCTCCAGAAGGAAGATGAATCTTATTTCCCATTGCTGGCCTATGTGTGGTGGACCTCAGGTGCTACCTTTAAAGGCACACCTACACCCCATTGTTTCTCACAGCTACTCCTCTTTCCATACTTCTTTTAGCCTAGGTAGTTTCTCCTCCATTTCTACTCACCTGCTGAAGCAATGACTTTCTCTGTTGCATTGGTGAGGTCCAGAAGGACTGTAGGAAAAACAGGATGGAGGAGATAGAGGTGGTGCAGCCCTGAGTGCTGAGGTCTGGGACCAGATTGCTGTTGGAAAGAAGGACAAAAACATAGCAGTTGGCTAGCAAGGAGGAGTCTAGCTTTGCCAAAGAAATAAAGTTTTCTGACGCTGTACTGTCTTTACATGGATCAGAGCATCAAAACCTCTATGGCTTTAAAGAGATGAAATCCTAAAATATTTTTTTCCAAAACAGAATTTGCACCACAACTTCTGTTTGGTAAGGTTGAAATCTAGCTCTACCAAATGCAGCTTGATGGACAAAGCTACAGTCTGGAAGTTTGAGTCTCCATGCTGAATTGTGTGCCTGCACACAGAGAAGTGCTCTGGGGCTGGGAACAGCTTTAGAGTTACAACAGCCCAGTGTTGTACAAAAAAAAATCATAGAATAGAATCATAGAATCAGCTGGGTTGGAAGAGACCTCAAAGATCATCAAGTCCAACCCTACTATCATTACTAGAATATGGCACTGAGTGCCACATCCAGTCT